ATAGTCCCTCCCCTGCTTTCCTGTAGGCCCCGCTCAGGTAGTGGATGGTTGCTATAAGGTCCCCCCAGAGCCTCCTCTTCGCCAGGCTGAACAACCCCAACTCTCTCAGCCTGTCCTCACAGGAGAGATGTTCCAGCCCTCCACCCCTGGAGAACACTCTGGGGCTGTCCCCAACCTCTAGCCCTGACCTTGGAACTGTCCTTTCTCCAAAAGCTCCTGAGATGGCCAAGTGACCCCAACAGTGCAGAGCACCCTGGGCTACGGTCTGTGCTGAACCTAGCCTGGGCCAACCTGGGGTGCCCTGTGGAGAGCCCTGACCCCTCTTCTCCCTCTCCTAGGGCATGACCATCCGGCCCTTGGTGGACCTGCTGGCTGTCAAGAAGAAGCAAGAGACAAAGCGCTCCATCAATGAAGAGATCCACACGCAGGTAACCCCCTGCGCCTGGCCGGCCCTTCTCCTCGCCGCCGTAGCCCTCTTCTCTCTCTGCTTCTGCCACCTCCACCGCTGTAACCAGGCGGGGTTCCCGAGGGGGAGCTGCCCCTAAATCGGTGCCCAAGGTAAGGGGGGACGGAGCGAGGGCTCTCCCCAGTCTGTGTGTCCAGTGCCCGCTCCGACCCAGACCTCCCCTGTGCCTGGTAGCGCAGCAGCCCGCTCGTGTAGGACCGTGCTGCCCTCCTGAGGCCCATCCCGGCCCCACAGCCCTGCTTCTGCACCCACCCCACCCCCCCCCAGAGTCCTCACCCCTGTGTCGGTGTGGGTGTCGGGGTGGGGAGAGGGCTGGGCAGAGGCCCTGCGAGCTGCCTACGCCCTGGACCTTCTCTTCCAGTTCTTGGATCACCTTCTCACGGGGATCGAAGATATCTGTGGTCACTATGGGCACCACCACTGGAAGGACAAGTGAGTGCAGGGGTTTGGTGGCTCAGGGGACCCGTGGAGGAGATGGGGGTGGGTTTGAATGGCCACCAGCAGCTTTTCCAGCCCTGTGCTGGATTTTTCCCTGACTCTGATATCCACACGCACACTTCCCGTGACAAACTATGGCCCCAAGTTGGGTGTGAGGAGCTGCACCCCTTCACCACATCACCCATGGCACATCCACAGCAGTGTGGGACCTACTGGTGGCCAGGCCCTGCAGGAGCTCAGGACCATCCGTTGGGGTGCGAGCAGCTTCTGGGCGTTCCAGACGCTAGGGAGGGGGCTGGGGAAGCCTGGCCTGACCTGCTGTGATGGGAACTGAACCATCTCCTGCTGGGCTGGGCCAGGGGTGGGGAGCAGGGCCGGGGGAGGTCTGACAGGTGGCTGCTCCTCCTCTCCCCACGTCCTCGGGAAGGCTGAATCGCTTCAACAAGAAGTACGTGAAGAAGTGCCTGATCGCGGGGGAGCGCTCCAAGGAGCCCCAGCTCATCGCCTTCTACCACAAGATGGAGATGAAGCAGGCCATCGAGCTGGTGGAGAGTGGGGGCATAGGCAAGATCCCCTCTGCTGTCTCCACCGTCTCCATCCAGTGAGTTCTCCACCCTGCCCTGGCCACCCCCTGCCTCCCACGGGCCCCTGGCACAGGCTGAGCGCTCCCTGCTAGTGGCTGCAGGGCAAGCAGCCATTGGGCCCCTCCGTGGCCATCCCGGGGTCACGCTGAGTCCTGTGTGTCCACACAGGAACATCAACCCCAAGACCCTCCCTGTGGAGCGTGTCCTTCCAGCCCTGTCCAAGGACAAGGAGGAGGAGATCCGGAAAATCCTCCGCAACAACCTGCAGAAGACCCGGCAGAGGGTGAGGTGTCCCCTGGGACCATGCGTGGTCCTTTTGCTTCCCTGGGGGTGGCCAGGACCCACCAGAAGACCTCAGGGCCCCTGGTGTCCCTGCCCTTCTGTGCCTCACGTTCCTGGTGTGGCTCTCCCACCCCGGGACAGTGCTGAGGGGGAGCCTAGCCCAGCGTTGAAACCCTTGCTGGGCCAAGGTGGGTCAAGATCAGGCATCCCACAGTAGCACACGAGGGATGAGCCACCAGCTTTCCTGGACGTGCCCTGCCCACTGGTGGCTGTTTCATCCATCTCCAAGGGGAACAGTGCTGTGACCTTCCTTTCCCTTTCTGTGTGGCTTTTTTTAACCTCTCTTTTTCCTGGGGCTCTCTCCCAGTTGCGATCCTACAACCGGCACACGCTGGTGGCCGACCCCTACGAGGAAGCCTGGAACCAGATGCTCCTGAGGAGGCAGAAGGCCCGGCAGCTGGAGCAGAAGGTGGCAAGGGGACACTGGCACAAGCTGGGGAGGTTGGGAGGGGACCAGGGGAGCTTCCCAGCCTGGGAAGGACATCGGTGTCCTGTGTGGGAGGTGGCTGAGGTTCACATGACAGCGGGTGACCTTGGGGGTCCTCTGATCACCCCGGGCTCTGAGCCTTGTTCTTGCAGCGTGGCTGGAGGACACGTGCATGTGTCCTCTGTGTCCTGCTGCTGCTTCTGGCTCATCCCTGGGGCCTGGGGCCAGTTCCCTGCCTCCCCTTCCCCATTTATCCCAGCCACTCCAACAGAGACCATCCCTCTGCTCCTCTTCCAGATGAACAACTACCTGACGGTGCCAGCTCACAAGCTGGATTCACCCACCATGTCCCGGGCTCGCATAGGCTCAGGTAGGTGGGACTGAACTGGGGGAGCAGTGCTGCTGGCACCTCGCTGGGCATCACCAGCACTTTGCTGGGCATCCCTGGCACCTTGCTGGGTGTTGCCAGAACCTCGCTGAGTATCACCAGCACCTCACTGGGTGTCTCTGGCACCTCACTGGCCATCTCTGGCACCTTGCTGGGCACCTCCAGTACCTCACTGGGCATCTCCAGCACCTCACTGGGAATTTCTGGCACCTCATTGGGCATCACCAGCACTTTGGTGCTGAAACAGTCAGAGGTTGTGTTCTCCTGCACCCCCTCAGCTCCTCCAGCCCCTGTCGTCCCTGTCCAGCTCCCCTGGGGCAGCACACGGGTTTGCTGTCCTCAAGCCCAAGCCCTTCCTGAGCAGGAGCACCCAGCTCACTTCCCAGCACGATTCCCACCGGGCAGTGACCTTGGCCAGCCGTAGATCTGTCTGGAGCTCAGCTCCTGCCCCCCACACAGCCACGGTTCTGGCCGTGCCTCTCCTCGCCCTCTGCAGGGCTGAGAACCGGGAGGGCTCAGCCCCAAGACGTGCCCCCGGACTCGTGGTTCGTCCAGCAGACGTTTTGCTTGGCCGTGTTGGTTCCTCCTGCCCTGTCCCCTCTCCTGCTGTGGGGAGCCGTGCCGGCGCTGAGCCGGTGGTTAATCGGCAGGGGGCAGCTTCACCCTCTGCGAGCAGCACGGTCCTGGAGCAGCTCCAGGTGGGATGTGGAGATCCAAATGTGCATGGAACAGCAGACTTGGGAATTAGAGACAGCAGGAGCCCAAGCATCCTAGCCCCAAATATCTGGGGTGAATTAGCTGGGGGTCCCTGAGACCCCACTCCCTTTCCTTTCCTTTCCTTTCCTTTCCTTTCCTTTCCTTTCCTTTCCTTTCCTTTCCTTTTTCCTTTCCTTTTTCCTTTCCTTTTTCCTTTCCTTTTTCCTTTCCTTTTTCCTTTCCTTTTTCCTTTCCTTTTTCCTTTCCTTTTTCCTTTCCTTTTTCCTTTCCTTTTTCCTTTCCTTTTTCCTTTCCTTTTTCCTTTCCTTTTTCCTTTCCTTTTTCCTTTCCTTTTTCCTTTCCTTTTTCCTTTCCTTTTTCCTTTCCTTTTTCCTTTCCTTTTTCCTTTCCTTTTTCCTTTCCTTTTTCCTTTCCTTTTTCCTTTCCTTTTTCCTTTCCTTTTTCCTTTCCTTTTTCCTTTCCTTTTTCCTTTCCTTTTTCCTTTCCTTTTTCCTTTCCTTTTTCCTTTCCTTTTTCCTTTCCTTTTTCCTTTCCTTTTTCCTTTCCTTTTTCCTTTCCTTTTTCCTTTCCTTTTTCCTTTCCTTTTTCCTTTCCTTTCCTTTCCTTTCCTTTCCTTTCCTTTCCTTTCCTTTCCTTTCCTTTCCTTTCCTTTCCTTTCCCTTTTTCCCTTTCCCCTTTTCCCCTTTCTTTCCTGTTTCCCCTTCCCCCTTTCTCCTTACCCTTTTCCCCTTTCTTTTCCCTTTTCCCCTTCCCTTCCCCTTTCCCCTTTCCCCTTTC